GTGTGTGGTGTGTGTGTGTGTGGTGTGTGTGTGTGTGTGTGTGTGTGTGGTGTTTGTGTGTGGTGTTTGTGTGTGTGTGTGTGTGTCTGTGTGTGTGTGTGTGGTGTGTTGTGTTCTATACACGTATACGCCCACGTAATAGTGTGTCCAAGTAATACATGGTGTGTAGGTGCGCGTGGGTGTAGTGTGGTGTAATGTGTATGCGCGTGTGGTGTGGTGTGCGTGTGTGGGCATTGTACATGTACACCCTGCAAAAAAACAGACATATGTAATGCTTGTGTGTCCGCACGCGTGTGTAATGTGTTTATGACTTATCATCTATCTATCTATCTATCTATCTATCTATCTATCTATCCATCTAACTATCTATCTATCTATCTATATCTATACATATATATATATATGCGCGTGTGTGTGTGTGTGTGTGTGTGTGTGTGTGCGTGTGTGTGTGTGTGTGTGTGTGTGTGTGTGTGTGTGTGTGTGTGTGTGTGTGTGTGTGTGTGTGTGTGTGTGTGTGTGTGTGTGTGTGTGTGTGTGTGTCTGTGTGTGTGTGTGTGTGTGTGTGTGTGTTCTATACACGTATACGCCACGTAGAGTAGTGTGTCCAAGTAATACATATATATATATATGCGTGTGTGTGTGTGTGTGTGTGTGCGTGTGTGTGTGTGTGTGTGTGTGTGTGTGTGTGTGTGTGTGTGTGTGTGTGTGTGTGTGTGTGTGTGTGTGTGTGTGTGTGTGTGTGTGTGTGTGTGTGTGTGTGTGTGTGTGTGTGTGTGTGTGTCTGTGTGTGTGTGTGTGTGTGTGTGTGTGTGTGTGTGTGTGTGTGTGTGTGTGTGTGTGTGTGTCTGTGTGTGTGTGTGTGTGTGTGTGTGTTCTATACACGTATACGCCACGTAGAGTAGTGTGTCCAACTAAAGCAACTTCTCTCTAATGATACAGGAGAGAGCGATGAAAAGAATTTCTTTCTTCTTGGAGATGATTAACATCGCAGGATCGTCTGGAAGCGTGGCCGCAGAATTCTTGGAATCGGCTTCCGCTACATCAGAGTTTCGGGTGCGGTTCGTTGCTCCTAGAACTTGTCCCCGGGAAATTGTTCTGACTCGAATGGCGTTAAAAATGGCTTGCTTTGGTACGCGATGCGGTGCTTAATGGATTATCCCCTGTGATATGTGGATGATCTTTTAGAAATTAGTGATCCAGGATCACTATATTCCATTGAGGATCGTAAAGACGCACGAACACCGTAACAGTTGATGTGTGAACCCTTTCGACAAGTAAAACATTTGCTCCTAAGTAAGAAGTTAAGAAATATGATTTTGCCATTTGATGTCTATATAAAAAGGTGTTATTTAAGTATATAGTGCTGTATGACATTTATTTTTAACTATAAATCACTAAGCAGTATTTAAGTATAGAACTTCTATCATATGGATTAAGTATATATATATATGTGTGTGTGTGTGTGTGTGTGTGTGTGTGTGTGTGTGTGTGTGTGTGTGTGTTTTCGTCTTACATGACTGAAATAACGTTATCCATTGTCGTAAGCCAGTAACATCATGAATGTTTGATCGGCTTTATTTTTCTCATGGAATCTTAGTACATGGAAATCGATTTATCGTCACGGTATTTTTGCCACCGCATTTACTCTTTGTTTTATTACGATTTCGCTACTCTGGGGTATTCAGTCTTGGAGCTCGGAAAGCTGAACCAGAATCCATATTTCTTAGCATTTTTCTCGGCTCCGTCGAAGTCATCCGCAGATCCGAAAGTCAAATGACGATGCTGAATGGCTACGGGGATATTCTTTGAAGCTGAGAGGCTGAAGCTAACTAAAAACGTCTCCATAACCATACCTCCCTTTAGCCACCTTTCCTAATGCACAAGCTACAATTACTATAATGCGTACCTTCCATCTCAGCCACTATCTTCTCAGTTGTATCCCTTATCAGCTCAGAATCGTGGGGACGGTGAAAGCGTGTGTGTAATGGGGAAGACCAAAAGGCATATCCAGGAATAGGATGTCTAGTTATGATTGGCCGGTATTTTAGAGGCATGTGATTTTCTTCTGTGGATAATATAAGATATGGTAGCTCAGTATTTGTGAAGAGTAATGGGGACTGACTAAGGAATAATAACGTGCGAAACCTGGCTCTTCCTCCCATAGCTTCGGACGAAGCCACTTATGGTCTAAGGTCAGGTCAGGTCAGGATTCGAGATTAAGTCAGATCAGGATTTTATAATTCGTAACCTCCTTAAACGATATCATTAATCTCCTGCAGAAAGTTGCCTATTGGATGAAAATAGTATATTTGCAAACAAGATATATATGTATATATTTGCATATACATATGTATATACTTATATACAAGAGCGCGCGCGCATACACACACACACACACACACACACACACACACACACACACACACACACACACACATATATATATATATATATATATATATATATATATATATATATATATATATATATATATATACAT